GAGAATAAAGTCGCAACATTATTACAATAAAGTTATAATATAAGAATAAAGTCGCAACATTATTACAATAAAGTTATAATAATATGAGAATAAAGTCGCAACATTATTACAATAAATTCATAATAATATGAGAATAAAGTTGCAACATTATTACAATAAATTCATAATAATATGAGAATCAAGTCGCAACATTATTACAATAAAGTTATAAAAATATGAGAATAAAGTCGCAACATTATTACAATAAATTCATAATAATATGAGAATAAAGTCGCAACATTATTACAATAAAGTTATAATAATATGAGAATAAAGTCGCAACATTATTACAATAAATTCATAATAATATGAGAATAAAGTCGCAACATTATTACAATAAAGTTATAATAATATGAGAATAAAGTTGCAACATTATTACAATAAATTCATAATAATATGAGAATAAAGTCGCAACATTATTACAATAAATTCATAATAATATGAGAATCAAGTCGCAACATTATTACAATAAAGTTATAATAATATGAGAATAAAGTCGCAACATTATTACAATAAATTCATAATAATATGAGAATAAAGTCGCAACATTATTACAATAAAGTTATAATAATATGAGAATAAAGTTGCAACATTATTACAATAAATTCATAATAATATGAGAATAAAGTCGCAACATTATTACAATAAAGTTATAATAATATGAGAATAAAGTCGCAACATTATTACAATAAATTTATAATAATATGAGAATAAAGTCGCAACATTATTACAATAAATTCATAATAATATGAGAATAAAGTCGCAACATTATTACAATAAATTCATAATAATATGAGAATAAAGTCGCAACATTATTACAATAAATTCATAATAATATGAGAATAAAGTCGCAACATTATTACAATAAATTCATAATAATATGAGAATAAAGTTGCAACATTATTACAATAAAGTTATAATAATATGAGAATAAAGTCGCAACATTATTACAATAAAGTTATAATAATATGAGAATAAAGTTGCAACATTATTACAATAAAGTTATAATAATATGAGAATAAAGTCGCAACATTATTACAATAAATTTATAATAATATGAGAATAAAGTCGCAACATTATTACAATAAAGTTATAATAATATGAGAATAAAGTTGCAACATTATTACAATAAATTCATAATAATATGAGAATAAAGTCGCAACATTATTACAATAAAGTTATAATAATATGAGAATAAAGTTGCAACATTATTACAATAAATTCATAATAATATGAGAATAAAGTCGCAACATTATTACAATAAATTCATAATAATATGAGAATAAAGTCGCAACATTATTACAATAAATTCATAATAATATGAGAATAAAGTTGCAACATTATTACAATAAAGTTATAATAATATGAGAATAAAGTCGCAACATTATTACAATTAAGTTATAATAATATGAGAATAAAGTTGCAACATTATTACAATAAAGTTATAATAATATGAGAATAAAGTCGCAACATTATTACAATAAATTCATAATAATATGAGAATAAAGTCGCAACATTATTACAATAAATTCATAATAATATGAGAATAAAGTTGCAACATTATTACAATAAATTCATAATAATATGAGAATAAAGTTGCAACATTATTACAATAAATTCATAATAATATGAGAATAAAGTTGCAACATTATTACAATAAAGTTATAATAATATGAGAATAAAGTCGCAACATTATTACAATAAAGTTATAATAATATGAGAATAAAGTTGCAACATTATTACAATAAAGTTATAATAATATGAGAATAAAGTCGCAACATTATTACAATAAAGTTATAATAATATGAGAATAAAGTCGCAACATTATTACAATAAAGTTATAATGATATGAGAATAAAGTTGCAACATTATTACAATAAAGTTATAATAATATGAGAATAAAGTCGCAACATTATTACAATAAAGTTATAATAATATGAGAATAAAGTCGCAACATTATTACAATAAAGTTATAATAATATGAGAATAAAGTTGCAACATTATTACAATAAAGTTATAATAATATGAGAATAAAGTCGCAACATTATTACAATAAATTCATAATAATATGAGAATAAAGTCGCAACATTATTACAATAAATTCATAATAATATGAGAATAAAGTTGCAACATTATTACAATAAATTCATAATAATATGAGAATAAAGTTGCAACATTATTACAATAAAGTTATAATAATATGAGAATAAAGTCGCAACATTATTACAATAAAGTTATAATAATATGAGAATAAAGTTGCAACATTATTACAATAAATTCATAATAATATGAGAATAAAGTCGCAACATTATTACAATAAAGTTATAATAATATGAGAATAAAGTTGCAACATTATTACAATAAAGTTATAATAATATGAGAATAAAGTCGCAACATTATTACAATAAAGTTATAATAATATGAGAATAAAGTCGCAACATTATTACAATAAAGTTATAATGATATGAGAATAAAGTTGCAACATTATTACAATAAAGTTATAATAATATGAGAATAAAGTCGCAACATTATTACAATAAATTCATAATAATATGAGAATAAAGTTGCAACATTATTACAATAAATTCATAATAATATGAGAATAAAGTCGCAACATTATTACAATAAATTCATAATAATATGAGAATAAAGTTGCAACATTATTACAATAAATTCATAATAATATGAGAATAAAGTCGCAACATTATTACAATAAAGTTATAATATGAGAATAAAGTCGCAACATTATTACAATAAAGTTATAATAATATGAGAATAAAGTTGCAACATTATTACAATAAAGTTATAATAATATGAGAATAAAGTTGCAACATTATTACAATAAAGTTATAATAATATGAGAATAAAGTCGCAACATTATTACAATAAATTCATAATAATATGAGAATAAAGTCGCAACATTATTACAATAAATTCATAATAATATGAGAATAAAGTTGCAACATTATTACAATAAATTCATAATAATATGAGAATAAAGTTGCAACATTATTACAATAAATTCATAATAATATGAGAATAAAGTTGCAACATTATTACAATAAAGTTATAATAATATGAGAATAAAGTCGCAACATTATTACAATAAAGTTATAATAATATGAGAATAAAGTTGCAACATTATTACAATAAATTCATAATAATATGAGAATAAAGTCGCAACATTATTACAATAAAGTTATAATAATATGAGAATAAAGTTGCAACATTATTACAATAAAGTTATAATAATATGAGAATAAAGTCGCAACATTATTACAATAAAGTTATAATAATATGAGAATAAAGTCGCAACATTATTACAATAAAGTTATAATGATATGAGAATAAAGTTGCAACATTATTACAATAAAGTTATAATAATATGAGAATAAAGTCGCAACATTATTACAATAAATTCATAATAATATGAGAATAAAGTTGCAACATTATTACAATAAATTCATAATAATATGAGAATAAAGTCGCAACATTATTACAATAAATTCATAATAATATGAGAATAAAGTTGCAACATTATTACAATAAATTCATAATAATATGAGAATAAAGTCGCAACATTATTACAATAAAGTTATAATATGAGAATAAAGTCGCAACATTATTACAATAAAGTTATAATAATATGAGAATAAAGTTGCAACATTATTACAATAAAGTTATAATAATATGAGAATAAAGTTGCAACATTATTACAATAAAGTTATAATAATATGAGAATAAAGTCGCAACATTATTACAATAAATTCATAATAATATAAGAATAAAGTCGCAACATTATTACAATAAATTCATAATAATATGAGAATAAAGTTGCAACATTATTACAATAAATTCATAATAATATGAGAATAAAGTCGCAACATTATTACAATAAATTCATAATCATATGAGAATAAAGTCGCAACATTATTACAATAAAGTTATAATAATATGAGAATAAAGTCGCAACATTATTACAATAAAGTTATAATATAAGAATAAAGTCGCAACATTATTACAATAAAGTTATAATAATATGAGAATAAAGTCGCAACATTATTACAATAAAGTTATAATAATATGAGAATAAAGTCGCAACATTATTACAATAAATTCATAATAATATGAGAATAAAGTCGCAACATTATTACAATAAATTCATAATAATATGAGAATCAAGTCGCAACATTATTACAATAAATTCATAATAATATGAGAATAAAGTCGCAACATTATTACAATAAAGTTATAATAATATGAGAATAAAGTCGCAACATTATTACAATAAATTCATAATAATATGAGAATAAAGTCGCAACATTATTACAATAAAGTCATAATAATATGAGAATAAAGTCGCAACATTATTACCATAAATTCATAATAATATGAGAATAAAGTCGCAACATTATTACAATAAATCCATAATAATATGAGAATAAAGTCGCAACATTATCAGAAAAAGTGGCAACATAAGATCAATTTTCTCCCAGTTGCTGCGACAGTTGATTGATTCTCTCCTGCTTCCTGTCGTAGATTCATGCCGCCATGTTGGCTCTGCGGTCTCAGCCATGCTTGACCTGTGGACAGGTGTCTTTATAAACCAGTTCAAACCGGTTTCACTGATTCAGGTATCAGAGGACTGATGAGCTCCTCTAAGAAAAAGCCTCTCTGTGAGGACCAGATCTATGGCTTTATTCTTTTCACTCTAATCTGGAGATGAATTCTTGGAAAATGTTGATGTGTTCATGTCGGAGTCGGTGAGGAAAGCGAGCCGGTTCCAGCGTAGATGGACGGACACCTGAACGCTGCTAAAAGTGTCGCCTAACGCCCCCGCTCTACAGAACGCGGCGCTGGGACAGTGTTTCCACGCTCAGACAAACACGGGGCGTTATGTAACCCCCCTGAGACGCTGCAGCTTTTCAAACAGCCTCTCCTGTTGTTCTTCTGCGTTGCAGAAAGTGTCCAGATGGGTTCGACTGTCTGAAGGCGGGAAGGAACCCAAACTACGGATACACCAGCTTCGACACCTTCGGATGGGCCTTCCTGTCGCTGTTCCGCCTGATGACCCAGGACTACTGGGAGAACCTCTACCACCACGTAAGGTTCAGGGTGTCAGGAGGAGAGGTTACCATGGAAACACCTGTCAGGACTTCATTTAGAAGCATTTCTAATGTTTCAGAGGAAAAATAAAGAATCAGAAACTCCTTCTTCTTTCTACATCCTTCAACCTCCACACAATTTTAAATGTTTTTTTTAATTTTTATCGATTGCTAAAAAACAAACATTAAAATATGGCGTCACATTTATCTCAAAATACCCGCGAGCAAAATAAACAAAATAAACATTTAACACGTATGCTAAACCCCTTCTACACATGATTTATCTACCGCCACAGAACTAAATCACACGCGAGAAACTGCCGCTTCAAGAGAAGAAAATCGCTCTCCGCGCGCACTAGCTCCTCCCACGCGCGCTCGGGATCTCACTGTGCGCATGATTTTCTAGGACAGCGTCGCTCTCGAAAGCGTCTGAATTAAAACGTGTTTTGACGGTTGGGTGGAGACGAACCTCTTCAGTAGGCCTGATTTATACTCAGAAACCAGGTGGTCTGCGTGTGTTTCGCAGTGAACGCAGATAAGCCCCGCCCCCTTCCGCAGACACTCTGCTGCACCTCTCCCAAATTGTAGGTGACTGCAGACAGGAGGCCTCTGATTGGTCAAATCTCCATCTGCTCTACATTATGCGTATTTCCTGTTTGGTTCCTTACCGGCTTGTTTTGTTTGTCTGGCCGCCATTGTGGAAAACGACTGGTGAAGATGGAGCAGCTAGTTCCGCAAGAACGCTGGGACCCTTTTCCCACCTGGATCCCCGCTCTTTTTGGCCCTCATGTCCCTCCGTTGTCGCACAAACTTGCCCCCACTTCCTCACCGCCTCGGCCGTATCTAGACCCACAGCTAGTTCCTGATTGGCCCTCTGGCGTCGTGGCGTGGAATAACATAGCGCAGACCACGCTTCAATGTTGGGCAGACATCAAAAAATATCTGCGACACACTGCTGGCGCTTTAGCCTCATCCTGATTGGGCCATGCAGACTAACCTGACTCCGCCTGATGGATTTGCTCCGCATATCCATCTGGAAACCTTCTGTTGAAGTAATTTTGGGAAGGGGCGAAAATACTGGTTAGCTGATTGGCCTATGTTGGTGATAGACGGGCCAAATAAACCAATCAGATCAACGAAGCATATGGCGTACTAACAGAGCGACGACAGAAACACAACCACAAGCCAGGCTACTCTTGCTGAAACTAGTCGGGAGAAGAGCAAAAACATCTTTTCCTCTGAGAAAAGCCTCCAGAATAGTGTTTTGCTCTTCTTTCAGTGAAGAAATACTCTGTAATTCCCATAAAACTTGCTCGATAGCCACGCTAACGCTAGTTTCATCGGCTGAAGCCGCCATGTTCTTTAGACTGAACTGTCACGCTTCCCGTTGCGTCACACCTCAACCCGCCTCAAAGCCAACGCTGATTGGACGTTCGTTTGGTGAACGGCTCCAAATTTTCTTTAACGGAGAGTCTCCAGACTAATCTGCGAGTGAAACCTTGAAAGCTCGCGAGATCAGGATGGTCTCACCAGGCTACATGCAGACACGATCACACAGGAAGTAGTGTCTGGAAGCCTTTCACTGAGAACTCGTCATCGATTAGTGAAGACGGCGGCTGGAGGCGGGACAGTGGTGGAGGCTTCTCCAAAGTTTGCTGTTCGTGGGGTAAGTGGTAACCGTCCGTCAAAGGCTTCCTGATGCTACTTCCCGTGTCATCGTGTCCGCAAGGCCCAATCAGGAGGAGGCTTACAGAGGAGGTTTGTCTCCACCCAACCTTTCAAAAGACATTTTCCTTCGCAAGGGAAGAAGATCAGTCCGAGGGACTATCCCAAGCATTCCTTTGAGGAGCATGGAGAGCGATTTTCCCGCCATTTCTTGTGCATGCAAATGCAGTAGCAGCCATTCAAAATGGCCGTTCCCAGTCAAAAGCCATCCAAATGGCAGCAAAATCCTGTCCAACTTCCAGCCACTGGCCTTCTGGGCGTGCATGTTTCTTCACTCTGACTCCAGCCTTTCACTGAATTAGAGTCCGACCAGCAGATGGCGCTTCTCTTTAGATCGTAATGTCGAAAAATCATGACAGAAAGAATATTTTAGATGTTTAAAAGGAATTGTAGGGGACCAAGCAAGGACCAGCCAAGGACCCATCAAGGAAAAAAGTGTTTTTTCAAACTTGTGTCTCAGCTAACGCGATATTGTTGCATTTCCCGTAAAATGCTGTAAAACCTCGGATGATTGCAAACCCGAAGCCTAACTTTCTGACTCCAGACGCTGCGATCAGCCGGGAAGACCTACATGGTGTTCTTTGTGGTGGTCATCTTCCTTGGTTCCTTCTACCTGATCAATCTCATCCTGGCGGTGGTTGCCATGGCGTACGAGGAGCAGAACCAGGCCACCATCGCCGAGGCGTGTCAGAAGGAGCGCGAGTTCCAACAAGCCATGGAGCGACTGAAGAAGGAGCAGCAGGTAACTGGTCCCTCAGTCCGTCCATGAAGGATTCTTTGTTCTCGTTCAAATTAATCAAACCTTCTCCTCCCAGATTGTTGCTCAGAAACCACCCGACTCTGACTCACTGACGTCGCCAGACCTCTCACCTCTTGGCCTGCCATTGGACAGCTCTGCGGAGCGGAGGCGGAGCCAAGCGTTGATGGGTGTGGCTGATGGGGAGGGAAACCTGTCAGAGGAAAAGCTGCTGCAAGTGGACTTGATGGACGGAGCAAAGGTGAGCGTTATCCTGCTCGTGGCGTCAGAGGTTCAGTCCTTCAGAAAAAAATCTCCACGGTTTGCTCCGCCTCCAGGCTCTCCATCCTCTCCTCGCTCGCTCCTTCTCCACGAGGACTCGACGAAGCAGTCAGGTCTCCTCCATCTTTAACTTCCGGCTGAGGAGCCGGGGGTCGGAGGGGGAGATGGCCGACGATGAATTCAGCATTCCTGGTGACGTAGTGGAGGGCGTGGGGGGCAGGACGTACAGCGGAGGGACGTTCAGCGGAATCCTGAGCAACCCGTGGTCCAAACGGAGACTGAGCGCCTACAGCACCAACAGCAGGAACTCCCAGGTGAGCTGAAACTCCGCCTCCTCCAGCAGAGATCAAACCTTTAATGCTGAGTCTGAGGATGCGAGGCTAACAGGTAGCAGCTAACACAGCCGACCTTTATGTTTCCTCTGTCCATAGCGTTCCTTGACAGCGTCGTTTCTAAGTCACCAATTTAGTGCTACTTGGTCCCAATGGAATTTCCCATTGGGAACCTGCTAGCACTAAAATGCTAACTGGTTAGCAAGATGCTTCCGACAAACCGGCCACAACCAAACTTGCTTGCAAACCTTCCGCCACAACAATCCCGCCCCCTTGATAATCGACCAATCACATTCACTTTATTCACTGGTGTAAAGTCGGGCACCACTCGGGAGAATTCGGAAATGGACATAAGATGTTAAACTGGACATAGACGGAAGAAGAAACAAGCATGAAATAGAAAAGACATAGATCCGATCCATGTAGAAAGGCAACTTCCTCTGCTAATGGTACCAGAGCAGAACCTCAGAGGTCCATCCTGAGACGGGTCAGGTCCAGACATCATCAGCAGATGGTTTCCAGTCATAACAGGCTCTTACTTCCTGTTTATCTCTGACAGGAACTTGTTTAACCTCAGAATCAGACGAGGAGCAGAGGTAGAACCACAGGAGATCAAATATCTGATCCGGTGTCCGATTTCCATCTCCAGGTGTTTTATCCGACCCTGAACGTCAACGGGAAGCTGTTTGTCTCCATGGATCAGAACGGGGTTTCCCCGCCGCCGCTGCAGGGGCAGCTGCCCGCCTGCACCATGGAGAAGGTCAAGGAGGAAAGTGTGAGTACGCCGTCCTGAGAGTGGAAACACTGGTGGCGCCCAGCAGTCAGATATGTGAATTATGAATCAATGCTTCGCATAACGGCCCTCTGATGTCATGGACACACACACACACACACACACATACTCGCTCTGCTATATGAAGTGAGGAGCATGTGTTGACTCCTATTGACTTCCATTTATTTTCAATCATTTCAACTCTTTCTATACACTTATCCTAAAACTAATCATTACCGATGCAGACCTCACCCAGTTCACACCTTAGCCCTGAAGCTAACCAATAGCAAAATGGCTTGTGAGGACCAGAAACATGTCCTCACTGATTAAAGTCAGAATTCTGACTCTAATTTCAGAATTTAGACTTTTTTTCTCAGAATTTTGAAATTTTTCTCAGATTTTTGACTTTAATCTCAGAATTAAGACTTTCTTTCTCAGAATTCTGATTTTAATCTCAGAATTAAGATTTTCTTTCTCAGAATTTTGAAGCTAATCTCAGATTTTTGACATTAATATCAGAATTCGAATTTATTTATCAGAATTTTGAATTATATCTCAGAATTTTGAATTATATCTCAGAATTTTGACTTTTTTCTCAGAATTCTGATTTTAATCTGAATCGTGGATCTTAATGTAGATGGGCGCCATGAAGGCAGAGATGTGCAGCTCTCAGCTTCACTGAAAGATGTGAGTTATTTGGGAGAAACAGGAACACATTGGTGGAAAATGATGGAATTAGGTGATTTTTCCGTCCCAGAGGGTCCCTGCTGATGCTATTTGATTAATGGAAGAATAGAAGGTGATTAAAACAAGAGAGCTAGACTCTAAAACAGACATGGCTATGGCTGGATGCTAACATGATTGTTAGCTGACCGACTTTTTTCCCATATTAAACTGAAATAATATTTAAAAATCTTTTTTTTTTTCTCAGTGGCCCTAATCCTCTTCCATAAAACTGCAAGAACCAGAATATACAATCCAATATTTTTCATTGGCAGATTTGATAATTTCTAGTTAATTTGGGTTTTTATAAACAGTTTCTCTATAGTTTATAAAAAATGTTTTAGTGCAGCAATAATGATCAGAGCTGCTCTCTGATCCTTCTACATAACAATCTAATCTTCCTTATTTTAACCTTTGGCATTAACTCCTTGATATTTATTTATTGTTAATCTGCAGAAGATTGATTGACAGCTTGCAGGTAGAGTCTGTCTCCCTAAAAAACTCCTGATTGGTTGACGCTCCGGCGTCCAGCGGCGAAGGTTGGATTTACCGATGTTCTTCCTCCTGGTCATGTTCTCCGCCGCTGGTGACATCTCATTGAAATCCATCACTGAAGAAGTGTGAAAATTTGTAAAGAGTTGGGATGGACTAAGGGGGCGTGGTGGATGGTTGTCATGGCAGCCATGATTTATAGTTCAACAAAAAAAAAAAGCCTTTATTAAAGAGTCATAGATGAATAGGATCCAAGCAGCTTTCTAACCGTGGGTCAGAGATCCTCCTGTTAGTTTATTAATGATTCCAGATGTTACAGCCTGAGAACCAGCCTGTTCAACCCTCAGACCGCAGCTTCTGACCGCCTGCATCAGAGATCCAGGAGAGAAAGATGGAGGCTGGAGGCGGGAGAACTTTTCTAAACCATAGCTGAGATGTTTTTAGAGTCTGACTCCTGCAGAAGAAAGACGTCCTGCCTGGTTTAGAAAGGTTCCTCCTAACAGACACGCGGGGAACTGCAGGGGCTGAGTGGGAGTTCTCAGCTGGTCTCAGCTTACGGTGTCATGTTGTGACATGAAGCGTTTCTGCCTCCTCTCCTTCACCGACAACACAGACCTGTCGTCCCGCTGATCCGAGTGGGAGGAGGACGGAGCCGGCGCAGCCTTTATTAGCAGGAAAAAAAACGTCACCATGGCGACCGGCCGCCGCCGACAGGAGTTCACCGCTGTGAGCGTGTTTCCCCGGTGCTTTCCCAGACAGGACGGGGGCGCCGTTGCCGGCGGCGACCTTCAGGTCGCTGCATCACGTCTCGTCGGACGGATTCTTACAGGAAGCGTTATGTAATCACACCTGAGCAGGAGGGGGCGGAGTTACCTCCTCAGAGTCAGCAGGTTTATGCAGATTGATCCATAACTTCTGGATTAAAGTGCAGAAACAGAAAAGTTTGGGGCGTTTTTCTCATCCAGCTGCTTGGGCTGAACTTAAATACGACAGCTGAGCTGCACTAAAGATGGCCGCCTGTCAGAACCTGCTCGCTCATCGCATTCAGATTGGCCAGTAGGCTGTTATCAGCCAGTAAATCCTAACCCTGAAGCAATTCCTTTCATTTCCATGGAATTAATTAATATATTTTTGTGTAATCTAAATAATTTCAGTAGTTTTTCATGTACTGTAAAAATAAATTAATACAAATAAAATGATGTCATATCTTGTCAGCTGGGTTGTAGATTAATCTACCTGTATATATTCATTATTCTTTAATAAGATCCTCGTCAAACGGACATGGAAAGTTTGTTTTTAAGCCTAATGGGTCTAACGAACTTAGGGAACAATTTTTTTGTTGTTTTATGCACAAACTCCGACAAAAAACTGACTAAGTCGTGAAAACAGCGTGATTGGCTGTGAGGAGAGACAGAGGAAACTCTATGTGAATAGTGGTGGGTATTGGCAAAGAAGTCATGATGCGATTCTATCACGATGCATCACGATACTTGAAATATTGCGATGCATCGCGATATTTTCACTGAACACTGTAAGAGAAAGATCCAGCCCTTACCAGTGGCTGACTGGCTGGGTGTGATCTGGATCGTGTCTTCAACTGATACATAACTGAAAGCAACTGAATTCATACATAGCTGTATTTATTGAAACGACTTTTGGAGGTGTTGCCATGGAAACAAATACTGGACAGAAATATTACTATTACTGGCGTGGACACACTGACAAAAAGATCTTAGGATTCATCAAACTTAAAATAACAAAATAAGGATAATCAGAGCCGTTTACATGGCCTCAGTGGTCCTTTTGCAAATGAATGGAAATCATATCAATGTCATTTAAACCTTCTTTGTTTTTAAAGCCAAAATGCATCCAAGCATCTGACTTGAAATGTGATGGAGCCGCGGGGCGAATTTTCTCAGTCTCCTCCATGTTTTGTTTACGAATGACTCGTCTCAGTATCCCGCGGCCGGAAATGCTTGTGACACAAAGCAGCGGGCGTCAACGCATCCGCAGCGACATCTGCTGGACTGGAAGTTGTATTCCACTTGGTTTGGCTGATGTGTGCCAACCATTAATCTATTTTATTTGTTCTTTTTTTTAAATTAAGAATCGATACTTGGCGTCAAGAATCGATGCAGTAGATCACAAAAATTAGAAATGCGATGCATCTTCATGACGATTATTTTGCACACCCCTATATGTGATGCGTATTACTGAGGGTATGCTGAGCTGACAGAAAACCGAGCGGAGCAAATAGTCATCCCATGTGTACTTGCTTGTGATTGGCTGATACAAGGGAATTGAAAATGTCAGAAATGGCTTTGAGTTCCAGGTTTTATACAGTAGCCCAACAAAGCGGACGGGATGTGATAGTGTATAAAACCAACAGGTCCACACCTTTGGAATGGGGTTGATTGGATTCATTGTTAGCCTGCAATGCCTGTCCGTTTCTATCTGCATGTTTTCTAAACTAAAACCAGGCTTTGTTGGGCTGCTGGATAAAACCTGGAACTAAACGCTATTTCTGACATTTTGAACTGAAAAAGCTTCCTGGATGGAAGAGAAACGTCTTCAAACTTGGAAACAAAGTCCAGGGGATTGATTTTAACTTTTCTTGGAACGACGATGACCTGGATGACTGAGAATCTTCACCAGCTTGCAGTAAAATCCTCTAACGATGGATTCTTGGCATGCAAGCTTTCAAAGACTGAAAGGAAAATTGAAAAAAAATCACAAATTTTGGTTAAAAATATTGGCAATTTAGATTTTTTTGGCGAAATTGTTTATCCCCGATTTATCTGTAGAGATAAAAAACCTTCCAGGAGGTTAAAATCCAGTCGGATGCTTGGTTGATCATAAGGTCACTGAAGCCCTGCAGGTAAATGGATGTAACATGTTGTCCGTCTTCCTATGTCCTCCTGTCTGTGTGTCTCAGGTCCCCACGTCCACCACAGAGCTCAGCACCATGCTGCTCCCCCGCCCTTCATCCACGCAGGGCTCCGAGCGCAGGGGGAGGGCCATGAGTGCCGCCAGCTACCTGACCGACGTCATGGAGGGTGAGAACTTTAAATGTCTGACTGCAGAAAGACCGATTTATGGAACATTAATGAGAAAAGACCTAAATAAGCTGAGAAAGAACATTCAGCAGGCTAGAGATGTGAAGCAAAACTGAGAAACCATGAGAAGGTTTAGAGGAATCTAAGCACGCCAGCCATCAGGCACGGTGGTGGAGGGGTGAGGATGTGGGCTTCTTTTACTGCTTTAGATCCTGAGGATCTAAATCCTGAACCAGAGAGGATCATCAGCTGAGATGGACCTGCAGAGAAACACTGATGGACTGACAGAAGAGGCGATGAATAAAGCAGAACCAGCGGGAATAAATAAATAAAAACAGGATGATATGAAATAAAAAGGAATAGATTCAAAAAAATAACGACTGAGACGATTTTATTTAAGCCAGAAATCCTCCAAAAACACGTCAAAACAGATCAACTACAGCCTGAGAGCCGTTGGATGGTAACAGACGGAGCTCTAACCGGGTTGTGTAACAGAGTCTGGGTCTGAGTCGTCGCTGCCGCCGCCCCTGGGGGGGTGGGGGGGGGGTTGGGGGGGCTGGCTTTGTTTGTCAGAAAGGAGAGAGAAGGAGAGACTGAATGAAAGGAAGGAAGGAGAGTGTTGCATCGTGGTCACCCTCATTTAACATGCAATCAGCTTCCTGTGTGTTTGTTGGGTTGTTGAGTCACCGCCCCCCCCCCCCCCCCCCGTCCCCCCCGGCGGTCGCTGCTCTTAGAGAACAGATCATTATACAGGAAAACACAAAAACCCAACGCTGTCCTCTATGATTCATCTCTGCTTCCTCTCGCTGCCTTGGAATTCGTTCCAGATGTCTAAAGGAAACAGATCTGCAGTCAGAGGAACCTTCTGTCCAATAAATTAAAACGTTGTCTTTGATTTAGTTTAAAGAAAATCCCTGGAAATGTTTCACCTGATCTCGTTCACTAGTGAGAGACGGATGGAGCGTGAGATCCATAGACGTATCGGGTCACGACCCAAAGGACAAGACTGCAAATACAAGTGGTCAGTCACCCAGGAGGAGCTCAGAGTCACTGCTCCTCCACGTCGAAAGGAGCCAGCTGAGGAGGCTCTGGTTCCTGATGCCTCCTGGTCGCCTCCCTCAGGAGGTGTTCCAGGCACGTCCCACTGAGAGGAGGCCTGGTGGACGGACCAGGACACAATGGAGGGACGCTGTCCCTGAGCGAACCTGGTGACGATTCTGGGAAGTCTTTGCATCTCTGCTTAGCCTGCAGCCTCGGCGACCCATCCCCGGATAAAGAGGAAGAGCATGGATGGATGGATGTTTCACCTGATCAGATGGAAACATGATCATTACTAAGAAAGTTGATGCAGGTTCTGGTAAAGGAATATCTGCAGAACATTATGGTCCCATTAGCAGACAGCTGAGGGCTCCTCCGCTGACCAGCATGTAAGACCTGACAGTGTCTGAACATGTTTGATCTGAATCCTGAAGGTGGAGAAGACCAAGGAGACTGTTCTCCCTGCTGCCCTCTGGGAAGAGGCTTCCCAGCATTCAATGCAGGACCAGCAGGTTCTGCAGCAGCTTCTTCCCCACCGCCATCACACTGATGAACTGATGAATAAACTCTAATAAAGACTCTGCATCACTGATGACACCAAACCAAACAACACTGCAGATTTGCACCATATCTGAACTTTAATGTTTTTTATCCCCCACTGTTCCACTTTATGGATGGAAATGTTCATTTTTTGTCTTAAAGCTGTAATAAACTGTATACTCAGCTTCTCCTTTGACCTTCTGCACCTCTAACATTTGGATCATCTTGTTCTCTTGGTGGAACAGAACTGGAGGAGTCCCATAAGAAATGCCACCCGTGCTGGTATGTCTTCGCTCACCACTACCTGGTGTGGGAGTGCTCCCCCTTCTGGCTGAGGCTGAAACAGCTGGTGAAGATCATGGTGATGGACCCCTTCCTGGACCTGGCCATCACCGTCTGCATCGTCCTCAACACGCTGTTCATGGCCATGGAGCATTACCCCATGACTGAGGAGTTCAACGGGATGCTGAGCATCGGAAACCTGGTAGGAGAGGGAGGGAGGGAGGGATGATGGATGATGGATGGATGGATGATGGATGATGGATGATGGATGATGGATGGATGGATGATGGATGATGGATGGATGATGGAGGGATGATGGATGGATGGATGGATGATGGATGATGGATGGATGGATGATGGATGGATGGATGGATGATGGAGGGATGATGGATGATGGATGGATGATGGAGGGATGATGGATGGATGGATGATGGATGATGGATGGATGGATGGATGGATGGATGATGGATGATGGAGGGATGGATGGATGGATGATGGATGGATGGATGGATGGATGGATGGATGGATGATGGATGGATGATGGATGGATGGATGATGGATGATGGAGGGATGGATGATGGATGGATGGATGATGGATGATGGATGATGGATGGATGGATGGATGATGGATGATGGATGGATGGAGGGATGGATGATGGATGATGGAGGGATGGATGATGGATGATGGAGGGATGGATGATGGATTATGGATGATGGATGGATGGATGGATGGATGATGGATGATGGATGATGGATGGATGGATGATGGATGATGGATGATGGATGATGGAGGGATGGATGGATGGATGGATGATGGATGGATGGATGATGGATGGATGATGGATGGATGGATGGATGATGGATGATGGATGATGGATGGATGATGGATGGATGGATGGATGATGGATGGATGATGGATGATGGAGGGATGGATGGATGGATGGATGGATGATGGATGGATGGATGATGGATGGATGATGGATGGATGGATGGATGATGGATGGATGGATGATGGATGGATGATGGATGGATGGATGATGGATGATGGATGGATGGATGGATGGATGATGGATGGATGATGGATGATGGAGGGATGGATGGATGGATGGATGGATGATGGATGGATGGATGGATGGATGATGGATGGATGATGGATGATGGATGATGGATGATGGAGGGATGGATGGATGGATGGATGGATGATGGATGGATGATGGATGATGGAGGGATGGATGGATGGATGGATGGATGATGGATGGATGGATGATGGATGGATGATGGATGGATGGATGGATGATGGATGGATGGATGATGGATGGATGATGGATGGATGGATGATGGATGATGGATGGATGGATGGATGGATGATGGATGGATGATGGATGATGGAGGGATGGATGGATGGATGGATGATGGATGGATGGATGATGGATGGATGATGGATGGATGGATGGATGATGGATGGATGGATGATGGATGGATGATGGATGGATGGATGATGGATGGATGATGGATGGATGGATGATGGAGGGATGGATGGATGGATGGATGATGGATGGATGATGGATGATGGATGGATGGATGATGGATGGATGGATGGATGGATGGATGATGGATGGATGATGGATGGATGGATGATGGATGGATGGATGGATGGATGGATGATGGATGGATGGATGATGGATGGATGGATGGATGATGGAGGGATGATGGATGATGGATGGATGGATGATGGATGATGGATGGATGGATGGATGATGGAGGGATGGATGGATGATGGATGATGGATGGATGATGGAGGGATGATGGATGATGGATGATGGATGGATGATGGATTGATGGATGATGGAGGGATGGATGGATGGATGGATGGATGATGGATGATGGATGGATGGATGATGGATGATGGATGATGGATGATGGAGGGATGATGGATGATGGATGGATGGATGGATGGATGGATGGATGATGGATGGATGATGGATGATGGAGGGATGGATGGATGGATGGATGGATGGATGATGGATGGATGGATGATGGATGGATGATGGATGGATGGATGGATGATGGATGGATGGATGATGGATGGATGATGGATGGATGGATGATGGATGGATGGATGATGGATGGATGATGGATGGATGGATGATGGATGGATGATGGATGGATGGATGATGGATGGATTGATGGATGGATGATGGATGGATGATGGATGGATGGATGGATGGATGATGGATGGATGATGGATGGATGGATGATGGATGGATGGATGGATGGATGGATGGATGGATGGATGATGGATGATGGATGGATGGATGATGGATGGATGATGGATGGATGATGGATGGATGGATGATGGATGGATGGATGGATGGATGGATGATGGATGGATGGATGGATGATGGATGGATGGATGGATGGATGGATGGATGGATGATGGATGGATGGATGGATGATGGATGATGGATGGATGGATGGATGATGGATGGATGATGGATGATGGATGATGGATGGATGGATGGATGATGGATGGATGGATGGATGATGGATGGATGGATGGATGATGGATGATGGATGGATGGATGATGGATGGATGATGGATGGATGATGGATGGATGGATGATGGATGGATGGATGGATGGATGGATGGATGGATGGATGATGGATGATGGAGGGATGGATGATGGATGGATGGATGATGG